ATCATCACATACAACATATGAACATATACAGATTTTTACAACAACAACAATAATAATCATAAATATAAACATTCTTGGTAACACACAAAAAATGCTAATTAATATATGATGGTAATGACCTTACATAAATCCTAAATTAAGCTACCCATCAAACATCATTTATAAGAAAAAAGAAAAAAAAACTATTGCAATTTATATCTCAAAAAAGAAAGCCTTAACAACCATTTGTTTAAAAATCAACAATGAGTTACACATTCATAAATTTAAGTCAGCATCATTACAAAATCTAACCCCAACAACAGAAATACATCTTCTTTTAATTCCCTTCTTAGCTTTTGGGACAGTAAACTTAGAAACATATCTTAAACCATATTTCCCCTCCCGCACCTTCGTTTCTACTTACAGAGAAGTAGAGTTTATTTCTTACAATATTCCCGTATCATCCCTCAGTTGTTTTCAAGTTGCTTGAATGTTTGTTTGTTTGTTTTTACCTGTCAATCTAACTTCATCGCTCTGGCATAGTCTTATTGATCAAACAAGGTGTCAATCACAGTCACTGTGCTTAGACCAGCTGTCATTGGTCAAACAGGGAGGTGCACACTTCCCATTGGTTAAAGGTAGAAAGTCCCACCTCTCAGCGAGGAGCTTGTACTCATAGGCGCAGGAATTACACAAGCAGACGACAAAGAGAAACGAGTGAAATTACACAATGTCTATGGTGTGAAATGTTGATGTAAACACTAAGCTAACACTCCGAGATACTCGCAGGAGACGTGAGGGAGGAACCGAGGACCTGTGCGATGGGAGTTTTACCGCGTTTATCAATGTCTTGGTGAGTTAATGCTAACGCAGCTAGCGATTTTAGCTTGTGCTGCAGTTGATATTGGCGCCCGCTGCCGTGTAAAGTGTGTGCTTCCCTCCAACTGTTATACCACACTAACTTGGCGTTGCGACCTACTCCTAACAGTAAAGTGCTACAGTTGTTTTGCCTCGAGGTCGTTGCCATTTGTATTTGTGTTAGTAGTGTACTGTATACATTTGCACCATTACAGTTGGTTATGGATGTTATTAACGATGAATAGTCAAGCGTAATACAGTGTGTGTGTACTGGTGTAGCCCACAGTTTCGAAATATGTGTGTTAATAGCATACATGATTTTGTTATTCATAGTTAAGTTGAAAAATGTTAAACAAATGGTTAAAAACATTAACTTTGTAGTTCAAAGGAAATACGTGTTATTTGTAATTGATTAGTATGCTTAATAATCACAAGTTATGGATTAATAGGCTAATAATACCTGATGTGAAATGTAAAGACGGGATAAAGTATTCCATGCTGAGAATAATTGTACAGTTAAAAGTTATTCATCTGCTCACTTTGTGTTACTATGATGTATTTATGTGATATTGATTATGGCCATAAAACAATTGAAGTTGACGATGCAAAATAGTAATAGCTCTGTTTCTACACAGGTGAGGTTTTTGAGATCCTTTGGAAAATTACATGTGGATTTGAGATTTTACCTGACGAGAGAGATGGTGAGCCACCCATGAACCTGATCTCTGCCTTGACCCAAGGAGTTGGATCAAGATCACCTATTATCCGCAGGAGTCCATCCATTCTTCTATCTCCATCACTTGAGCATCACACTCTAGTGTGGTAGTAGTATCAAAACAACCTTTTCCTCTTGACTTGTGACTTAAAAAGTGCATTTGTCACAATAAAGGATTAAAACTAAACTGAACAGTTTATAACAGAAGGAACAAAACTGAACTTGAATAACACAACCAGTGGAACTCTGTTATTTTTTGTCAGAGACACTTTGATTCATCTTTGTATTATTTTCTGGTAATATTGTTACCTTGTGAAGCATTGAACTAACTGTTTTTAAAGGGTTAACATCTGAGTGCCACGCTACCGACTAAGGACAGGCAAACAGTGCAAACTTCATAATCCAGCCCGGTCTCTTTTGTTGGTATATACTTAGGTGGAAAGTACTGCCTAGTTTTCCTGTAAGTTTTGGGGGAAATTACCCAGTACTTTCAGACTAAGGATGGGCAGACAGTGCAAACTTCATAATCCAGCCCAGTCTCTTTTGCTAGTATATACTTAGGTGGAAAATACTGCCTAGTTTCCCTGTAAATTTTGGTGAAAGTACACTGTAGATGTGAGAACAGCACTTACCGTGTGGTTTCTGTGTAATAAATAATAAAAACATTTTATAACTTTTCATGACTCATTATTGTGTATTTTAAGATATATGTAGGCTATATTACTACATTACTGTAGTGTTTGTGTTTCATCCTCGGATGGCACTACAAGACTTCCAGAGATGTGCACTTGAGAGGGGTAAGTTTGCTTTGTACTCCAGCCTGCCCATTAATTAGGCAATTTGCAGAATATAGACCCATTTCTTGACATATTCATATTCAAACTCATTCAATGAAATGTAAACAAAGCATAAATATTAAAACCCTGGAGTGTGGGTGAAATTGCCTGATGACACATATGCTACATAAAAGTGAATCAACTGCCATGAGCAAAGGGCAAAAGCATTTGTTGCACTTCATACATATACAGATTCATATAAGGAAATTAAACTGTAAGTTTTGGGAAATTACATAAGTGACAAGTTAAACTTCTGGGAAAGTATGTGCTAAGTGACCGCGAGGGATACTCTAACTCCTGGGAAAGTATGTGGTAAGTGACCGGGAAGAATTATGCTCTAACTCCCGGGAAAGTACATGTAAGTTCCTGGGAGTTATACGCTAACTCCCAGGAAAGTGGGCAAGAGGTACACTCTAAAACGCGGGCTGACTTATGAAGTGTTACCTACATTTCCTCTATTCCCGAGGGGCGATATCAACGGCTGTCACTCAAAGTGCCCCTTCACGCAATTGGAAAGACAAAACCAATCAGAGTAAACGAAACGTGTGACATAGGCTAGCGCAACGCCACAGTAAACAGACCAGCAAGCTGCAGCAGAGATGAGCTGTGATGATGTCTGGGAAAGAGCGTTGCCGTCTTTGCGGATTTCCTCCTCACTGTGGACTCCAAGTTGCATGGTTGTGATTCCCAGCTTGGTCGCTTCCCTGACCTGCTCCTCCATGAGTGCAACTAGTGGAGAAACAACAACAGCCACTGGGTTTTCAATGAGTTCCATCTTTTTCCCGATCAACGGAGCCAGTTGGTAAATTAAACTTTTACCAAACCCCGTATGAAGGACGGCAAACACATCCTTTTTTTTCAATAAAAGCTTTCAGTGCAGCCGTTTGCTCTGCTTTTAAAGAAAATGTACGCTCCAGTTCGTTCAACACATTTACCATCGCAGTTTCAAAATAAGTAGCCATGTTGGTTGTTTATGAAATGCATTCAGTCTGCTCCTTGTCCCTCCTATTCTGATGACATGATTTCAGATAACCCGCCACAAAGTAATAAACGGTTGTGATTGGCCCGGTAAGCTTTAACCAATGCCAGAATGCGCCTTTATGATTGCATGGCCAGACTGATCTGTGGAGCGAAATAGAATATGAGCTCGCGAGATTAGGATGGTTTCACCAGGCTAGCTAATCCTGACCTTAATCCTGCCACAGACCAGGATTTCCCAGCAGCATAAGTTACCATGGTTACTAGGCAGGGATTCAGGTTAACGACCTTGATGGAACGGAGTTGTGGCTCAGCTTGATGGAATGGAAACCAGAGTTTAGCTCGATGTATCAGGCTTAGTCAGAACCATGGTTTCCATGGTTACCGATGTGAGTGTAATCTTAGCCACTCTGATGGAACAGAACTCTGGCTCACATTAGCCAGACTTGGCCATTTAAGCCTGGATTTGCCTTTAGCCTGCTTGATGGAATACCCCCCAGGTGTGCAAATAATTCAAAAAAGTGAACAAAGGCAAATAGGTGACTGCATAAGACATCTATGGCTCTATAAAATGATTAAAATCACCAGAACATCCTTCATGTATATAACAATAACATCCATTATGAGGTAGAACTGGTTAAACGATGTAAACACAGGTGGAGAAAATAACAATGAGAATTATGAGCCAACACAGGGCACCAAGACAACTTAAAGTAGGCAGGCCATGAAAGCATTCCTATACATCAATTGAGATTAACAAAATGCCTGTATGTATGAGACACTGACGTCCATCATGAATTAGAACAATTAGGTTGTACTGATGCACTGATAACACATACGTTTATTAAAAGTGTCAGACTTCAATGAAAGCCTATCCTTTGACTAAGAAGTAGAGTAACAGAAGGCAAAAATACTTCAGATAACCCAGCGGCGATGAGAGATGAAAAAGAGAATTAAAAAATCTGTAAAGAAAAAAATAATAATAACTAACTGCAATCTGCATGTAGACAAGCTTCCTGAGTGTGAAAGTGTTCTACCGTTTTTTTTCCCCCGGGAGTTTTTCCTTATCCGCTGCGAGGGTCATAAGGACAGAGGGATGTCGTATGCTGTAAAGCCCTGTGAGGCAAATTGTGATTTGTGATATTGGGCTTTATAAATTAAATTGATTGATTGATTGATAAAGATAATCTGAATTCTCTTATTAGTCTAAACGGGAACAAAGAAAGATGAAAGACAGGGAATTCAAAAATATTAGGCTAGCAAACACCGGATGCCAAATCAACTTGCTGGTAATTTGGTAAAATGTCCGGTCAGTGATTTTTGTTCAAAAGTACCAGCTCTCATAGTAATCAGTCAGGACCGTGGCAGGCTAATGCCGCTAATGACACGGTCTGTAAGTTAACTCAAGGCCCGTCCAGGGCTAGTAAAGATGCAGTCATACAGTTAGCTTCCGCGGCTATCCAGTTAGCATAATAATGGTTTACCCACGGTGGGATTAATAGTCGCCCCCGGCCATCAGGCCTCTTCCATGTGGATGGATGTTATGAAGCCTTTAGCCTCTTGTAAGGGAGTCTTCCTACCTCCATCCTTCATCACGATGACAAGCCTGGCAAAGAATAGCAGTGCAGGTTTGAAGCCCGGGTTGTAAAGCTCCGACATCACGTCCCGGTATTTCTGGTGCTGTTCTACCACCTCCGGCCTTCACCTGGTACTCCACACCTGGTACCTGTGCAGCCTGATAATGATGGGCCGTGCTCTCTGCCCCTGCTTCAGTTTCTCAGATAGCGTACAATGAGCTCTGTCACATTCTGGTGGTGATTCCAGGAAGCCTTTGCCAAAAACTTCCATGAGCAGCTCTGCAAAGAAGGTTGTGGGCCGCGGCCCCTCCACTGACTCAGGTATGCTGACCATCTGTATTGCCGACTCCAGGACTCAAGGTTGCTAACTTTAGCTAACAGCTTAGCGTTGCTCTCCGCTAGTGTAGCACAGGATGCCTCCAATGTCAACAGGCGCTCGTCCTGTAAGTTAGCATTTGCCTTGAGAGAGGTTATCTTCTGAGCGTGGTCTGACACTATGGTTTGGATGTTGTCAAGCTTTGCTTCAGGTGTTGAAATGGAAGCTTTAATATCGGCAGAGAGGGCTTGGCGGTGTTCTTCCAAGAGGTTAGCTATGGCCGCCATGCTAAATTTGCCACCTGCTTCGTGTGAGGGACTGACCGTAGTATCTTGGTCTTTCAGTCTGTCTGGTTGCATACGTCAACATATTTCGGTAGTCCAATCCAAAAAATACCACTGCTTTGTTGTGACTTTCAGGGTCTTAAAAGGTGAAATTGTCAAAAGTTGCGGGAGCAAGACTCGACATGTGTCTACTCCATCTCAGCCAGAAGTCCCTGAAACGTTGTTGTTGTTGTTGTTGTTTTTTTTTTACCAAAATAACCTTTAATTTTGAACTGATGTACGTGATTAGTCTGGAGGAACTCAAATGGAAAAAAAGGATAAATATCTGCTGAGAATGCTACTGGTGGCATGTAAGAAATCCTTAACCAAGAAATGGCTGAAAAAAAGAAATGTCTAATGTTGATGAATGGATTGACTTGGTTCATAATATCTGTAATGGAGAGATTGACTTTCAGTCTGAGAAGCCAGAAGGACATTTTTATTGAGAACTGAATATATTGGTTGGTATATGACTTTGTCTGATAAGTACTAGAAACCCTGTGATGTGACTTTTAGCCCCCCACTGTATTTTTATGTTTTTATTTATGTTATGTTTATCTCTTTTCCTTTTCTGCTTACAGTCTTCATGTTCAGTTGGTTCTGGATTTTGTTAACATTTTATACTGCTTCTAAAAACCAATAAAAAGAGAATTACAAAAAAAAGAGAGAAATGTGCAATATCAGTGAAAAAACAGGAGCCGACAGGACCTACATCTGCTCCACGAGGGTGCCTTACCAGAAGATCTATTTAGCTAACGTGCTAATGATTGCGATAGAGCAGACAAACACATAGGCTACTTTAATCCACTCCTACACTTTTTTTACTGGGATTTTGGGTTCTAGAAAGGGTTAAAAAATTGACACCACTTTCTTAAAAAGGTGTTTTTGACTACCGTGGTGATGCTAAAAACCCGATGGCATGTTTACTTATGTCATCATACCAAACCTCCTCTCTGCCCATCTGTCCCCCCTCCCCTCTGTTGTCCCTCTCTCACTCCAGTCCAAAGTCCAAGTCAGAGGACCAGATGATCAGCTGGAATATAAAAGAGACTCTGCATCTGACTCACAGCACACAGCCACACACATACTCACAACCCATCTATCCACAGTCACAAACTCTGCATGAGCTGATTTTTGTTAATACTTTTAATGTTGATAATTTTAACACTTCAACTACATCATAATAAAACACTTAATGACAAGATACAGCTTTACACACAACAGCCGAGGACATCTCAACAGTCATGTGGCATCTCAGCAGAGACTTTCCAGACCACTTAATTTAAAAACTTATACACACGCAGACACATACACACACACCACTGGCTGCACTGATAAAACTGCTGTTTATAGCAGCACAAGAGGACTTACTTGTTGTTTGTATATCCCACATTCAAACTGAATTTGGCAAGAGGAGGATGCACTAACTGGTATCACATCACAAAATTCTGTAAGTAATATTCTGTCTCATATATGCTGCAGTAATATTGACATTTTACTATATAAAGATTGCATTGCCTTATCAGAGCACCATTGCGCTGTCAGTAGCTTAACTTGGTATGTTAAGACAGGTGTTAAGACAGGCTTAATGTTGGATGCATGACCCAGTGGTCTGTTAAAACACATTGGTGTGCAAGTTAAACTTGCAGTTTAACCTGTAGTTTGGTCAGAACACAGCTGCTGTGTCTTGTGGCATCAGCTCAATGCCACAACAGGTCCTTGTATATCTAAACCTGTAGAACACCTGGTTTAGATGAGGGATAGATGTATTTTCAAGACCGATACCCACTGCAGTTTAATGTAAGTTAATGTATCTGACAATATTTAACAAATAACCGATACTGCGGTAGACTGCAAAGAGACAGTTATGGGGCAAAATGTTACATCATTCAAGGTGATTTAGTGGCGTTTAGCGGTAAGGACTGCAGATTGAAATCAGTTGAAACCTCTCGAATTAGAATTATTTTATTGTTTATTATTCAGAAGGTTCCAAACTAACATACCAGGTAATTAAAACCAGTAAAAACACTGTATAAAGCAGTGTTACCTTAAAAAAATGATCGTTTGTCCAGCACTGCTTGTTGCACAGAGTTTTCTAATGACAGTAGCTGACATGAAATGGTAAAAAACACAAATGGTCTTTTCTAGAGCCAGTGTGTGGGGCAGGGGCAGGTGCCTTTTCATCCAGTGATGCAGACAAGGGTTTTGTTTAAACATTGAGAGGGACACAAATGTTTGGGGCCTGTGATGACCATTGAGGGCCTTAAACACTTTATTTTCTGCATTCTGGTGAATTTGCATCAATTTATGGTGGAAATGTACTTATTTATGTAAAGGGAAACAAAATTCTGGTAGCAGGTGACAAATCAAAATAAAAATATAATAGAGTATAATGCAGTAAGACTCTCAGACATGCTGTACTGTTTTCAGATGTTATTCTCCTGTAGATCGGCTTGTCTTATCTTACTGTGTATAAATGAGTTGTAGTGTTCTTCAGTGAAGTTTAAATGCTTCTGGATGTAGAGAGTAGAAGCTGCTCTAACACACGGACACACTGAGGATGATTTCTGCCTCAAAGTTCTTCAATTACATATGAAGTTAACAGAGTGTTGAAGAGAAAAGAGTTTTTTGATAGAGGGAGTTTGGTTCATTTACATAAAATTCAGCTTTCTACAAACATGGGTCTTCTCCTGAAATGCAAAGCTTATTTCATATTTTCTCTTGTCGTTACTTTCCCATCAGAGAATTTTAATGTAACCTGCGATCCAGCTAAATTCTTCATTTCCTGTTGGTTCAGAAATAAAATTAAATTCACATTTTTTAAAATTCAGTCTGCCGCCCAAGAATTTGTAAACAATTAACTTCATATATAAGGGAAAACTGCCTTGATTTCAGTAAATAGTCGCAAACTAATACTCAAAATTATCCTCTAAATAGCTTGAAATATTCTTAAAGAATCCCAGAGAACAGACGCCTGCAGTGCTGCAGCTTCATGCTCCTCCTCTCATTCTCTGTGCTCTTGGCACAAGGCATGTTCAGCACCAAACCGCATTTCAGTTTTATTTAATTAGCAGAGATTCAGTGTGGGAGATCTAAACATTATTTCGAGTTGAGTTTTGGTTTATAAAGATGTATAAGCTGGAAACCAATTCAGCATCTGTGTCCACTCACACGGGGCAGTTTGTGATTTTATGCCATCTTACTTGTTGTTAAGCTTATAGTGGGTTATTGCTGAAATTAGTCTGGCTGTATTGATAAATTTTAATAGTAGTTCAATCTCATAACAGTTACAAATAATATCTACACAATGATCTAAATATCTAAACAATAATATGCAGGGTGTTTGATTTAAGTGCATTAACTGTGGTGACTATGACCTGGGACGTTGATGAGGGAGGAGCAGGCGCTCTTGCGGTCTGGCAGAATTTAAACTCAAATTGGGTTGTCAGGTGGTGCATCATGCTTTTAATGGAAAATTGATGGCACAGGCCAAATTTAAAAACTAAAATATTAAATTAGAAAAAGAAATCGAAAAGAAACGTCTCCCAAAATAAGGCCCTTATATAGACAGAGGGCAAAAGGACAGGTGCTTGAGCACCACCAGGGGTATATCTGTGCACTTGCCTAATCTCCATAGACAAGGACCTACTCCCTAAGCAGATATAAATGTATATTTCTAAGGCAACAAAAGCACAACAGTTCTTATTTTCAGGTGATTATAGACTGAAGAAAACATAAATATTATATTAATATACATTTCTGCTTATTTATCCCTCCAAGTTCTACACAATGGGCCCTCAAATGCATGGACTAGTACATTTAAAAAAAAAAATCCCCCATAAAGAGTATAATGTAGTAATGGTAAATGGTAAATGGGCCTGCATTTGTATAGCGCCTTTCTAGTCATCTAGTGACCACTCAAAGCACTTTTTACACTACGAGTCACGTTCACCCATTCACACACACATTCATACACTGGTGGCCAAGTCTACCTTACAAGGTGCCACCTGCTACTCAGTTTTAACACACTCACACATCGATGGAACAGCCATCGGGAGCATTTTGGGGTTTAGTATCTTGCTCAAGGATACTTTGACATGCAGCCTGGAGGAGCCCCAGATCGAACCGCTGATCTTTCGATTGGTGGACGACCCGCTCTACCTCTGAGCCACAGCCGCCCCTACTTCCGTATTTACCATTTTCTAATAATGATGGACATACAGCACCAATTTATCCAAATTACCTGCATTTTGACCTTAAGCGGCCCGCCCATCTTTTACTTATTCCATTTCCACTTTTGTCTATTAGCTTGCAGTTGCTCTTTCTAGCTATACTATTAGTAAACCTTAATACATGCTGTTAGTAAACGCAGTAAACACAAATGAGAAGCCTCCTGACTGATTCACTGATTCAGCCTACTATAAATTTCACAAACTTGGAAATACACATCCACATTCATGCAGCGGTCACATGGCCTGACATACCACACTTACCTACAGTGTTATCTTTAACTCATTTTCGTTGTAGCAGTAGCTGGATGTTTATATCGTTACGTTAACACGTGGCCAGGCACGACTGACTGTCTCACTTTGACCCACTGAGCAGTTTACTTCCGGTTAAGCACTTTGCTAACTTAAATGGGGATTAAAAAATGATTTAATTGTGCAGCCCTTCTTGACTTTTGAAATGTTATTGGACCAAATGAATCAATGCAGATAGTGAAACAAGCATTTTGTGGTGCTTGTAACAACAAAATGTATCCACTGATCTACAGACGTCTCTTTCACAATGGAAGGCCATGAGAAAAAAGTATTTTTGGGGCATCATGTGACAAACCCAAATGGTTTAATTCCACCTTTGGCCACTATGTAGCATCGGCTTCAAAGGCTGGCACTGTTCCTGGGGGCTTGGCTCTATTACAATAACAAGTTACCCATCAAAAGTGCATTAACAGATCCTAACTTTATGCAAAGCTAGTGAGCGGAATATGCTCAGGATATATGGGCTGTTCACTAGCTGATGCACGGAATGCTAGTTAGCCAGCATTCTAACAGGAATTTAGCATAACGTTGCAAGAAGATAACCAATAAAAACACAATCCACTGTAGAATATAGTCTTTGTAACACAATGTTAATTTCCACTTTTTAATACATTTGAAAGTAATGACATTGATTGTATCTATACTGCAGTTGTCAAGCAATGTCTTCTGCTAGGATACAGCAACATTACTTGGACAAACCACATACAGATCTGCAATAGACAATAATACTAAAACTGGTAGTAAAATTTATGCCAACTTGTTAAGTTTCTTTATGATTAGGTTTACATTTGCTTATAATTATTTTGGACAGTAATTTTTTTAATTAAGATTTGTATTAATATATTGGGGGTGTTAAGCATATTTTAATATTGGGTCCCAATGTATATTACTACCTTGACACACACACACACACACACACACACACACACCATATGCACAGATAGTAGGTGTTACACCTTTTTCCACCCTCTTCTTTTGCAGTTGAAATGGACTTACTCCATAGGTGTGGTGTGAGCAGCACACACTACCTGCAGACCCACTTTAGCCACAGACAGGGCTACTTCCTGTCAGTCTCCATGGCAACTGACCTACGCAACACCTTCTTCCTATTGTTCCCCATATGGTTTCATATAGAGCAAGCTGAAGCCATCAAACTGGTGTGGGTGGCAGTAGTGGGAGACTGGGTCAACCTGATCCTGAAATGGTGAGAAGGGGTAATGATGATGATGATGATGATGATGATAATTATGATTGTCATGATGATTCTGATGACAGTGACAACAATGATGATGATGATGATGATGATGATGTATCCACAAAGTATGTCCATGATACCATTTTAAGGCTTCTTTTTGGAGAGCGTCCCTATTGGTGGGTTCAGGAGACGGGTTACTACGGCAACTCCTCCCAACCAATAATAGAGCAGTTCCCCATGACCTGTGAGACTGGGCCAGGTAAGAACACACGTTAGGAGTAACATTTGTGAGTTTATTTATTCTCAGATTTAATCCATCTCTTAAAAAGTTTACCTCCTCCCCTGACAGGAAGTCCATCAGGTCATGCCATGGGGACTGCAGCAGTCTACTATACCATGATGTCATCACTTGTTGCCATAGTGCTGAAGACAGAAGAACATCAAATCAGGAAATGGTGAGCTCAACCTCACCTTTATTCACTGTATAATACCTCTGTGCATTGCATACAGTCAGATCAGTAACGTGGATTGTCCTCCAGGTGTGTGCGTGTCTCACTGTGGATGCTGTTCTGGTGCGTGCAGCTGTGCGTGTGCCTCTCCAGGGTCTTTGTCGCTGCTCACTTCCCACATCAGGTCATCACAGGAGTTGTCATAGGTATGGACAGACAGTCTCACTCCCAACTTGTAAAATACAGATGCTAGGTCAGTGGTCCTCGGCATCAGATGCTGATGCACCGAGGCATTCTTTAGCAGCCGTATGAGACGCACTGGGCAGCGGCATTTTTTGACACTCCGAGCAACTGCCTTAGTATAAAGATCCAGAAAGTTCAGACTTTTATCTGGGAAAGGACTGTTCATTTCATGTGTGAAACCAAAAGACAGTTGAGTTATTTACATAACAACGTAGTGTGCTAGTATGCGTACTATGCACTAGTGACATTTCATGTGATGTTACATTATGTTTGCAACACATGCTAATATTTAGCCAAACATGTTTTTTTCTAAACCTAACCACATACTTTTGTTGCCTAAACCTAAGGAAATAAACCTGAAAACAAAAGTTTTTTAGCCTAAGTTTTAAGTTTATTTTCAAAAGAGACTGCCTTTCATCATCAACATCATCATCATCATCAAACCAATGTTTGTTTAGGGAAAAGTGACTTAATTGCATTAAGCTCTTTTATAGCAATACCCTGAGTTCACATTCCTCTTGTAACTTGTTCCATTTATTTGGTGCGAAAAAACTAAAAGCTATTTAACCAAGCTCTGTACTGATCTGAGGAGTTTCAAGGGATAAAATTCCTGCAAGCATGTGTCATAAGAAATTTGATTTTTTTAAACAGAAGTGAGGTAGAGGGTAGCTTTCCTAGCGATGAGAACTGTGGTAGACTGTATCAAGTGATTTTAGTGTGGACTGGGCTGCATGCATATACAAAATATCACCATAATATAAGGCTTAAATAATGGTAGCATGAATTATTGTCCTTCTATTTTCTAAAGAGAAGCAGAGAGGGGAGACAAGCAAATCTGTACAATGCACCCAATTTAATTTTCACATTCTTTGTGAACTCAAGCACATGTTTTAATTGAAAGCTTGTGATCTAGCCAAATACCAAGACATTTGTAATCTGTTATGCTTTCAGTGTGGGCGCCATTCAGGAAACGGGTGGAGTAGGCATCATGATCACAGGTCCTTGACCTTGTGCATAACATGAATTAGGTTGTAGGTTCATTTAAAACCAGTCTAAGTTTTTTAAAGGATTTCTGCATGCACTCAAGTGCACATTGAAGGTTTGATACTGCTTCCTCAATAGAAGGTGCATAAACATGAATAATTGTATCATCTACATAAAAATGTGCTTTGCAGTTTTTTTTGGGAGGCACAGATATCATATAAAAATTGACAACAATTTTTTAAATCTTAATTAATTTAACAACTGGAAAGTATACATTTCCTGTAAAAAAATAAAATTTATTTTGAAAAGACGCGACGCATGTAATGCCCTCTCTGAACGTCCAGAACTGCTGCTGTAGGATTATCTAGGGAGTCATAGTTTGACTTTGTCCTAACAGACATCTACTTCGACACGTTGACATGATGAGCACTAGCCGATCACAGCATGTGGTATTTGCCAATCACAGCACAGTAGAGTGATACTTCGTGGAATAGGCTTGGGGAAAAATGTGTATATCTGATGCTTTGTCAAATAATGGTATCATAAGCTTCTATGATCTAAAATCATTAGATGCTTAGTCATTATCATGAGATAGTTGAGCAAAATGAACTTATTAAGCGTAGCATAAGTTCAGGCAGGACACACTGTCAATGGAAGGGATTGATGGAAGGGAGTCAGCTGATAGATCACGTTTCCTTTCTATGCAACCTATCGGCAGATCTCATTCAGGGCGCCTTATTTAATCTGCTTCGGCCTGCCTAGTGTTGCTGCTTCCTCTGCAAGCTGCTTTGCAACGTGCACCCCCCCAGCTCCTCCTTTTCATGTTGTGTCTGACTTACCAATGTCATTTCTGCTTGTCATTGATGCTTGCTCTGCTCTGTCTCCGGGGGATCTTTGCTGATGCTTTCCCTGCCTCAGGCTTTCCATGTAGGCGCATGGAAGGACAGAAAGTTGTGCTCTCCCTGCCTTAGGCATTCCATAAAGGCGCATGGAAGGGAGGAGAGGTGTGCTCTCTCCGCCTTAGGCTTTTCTGTGTAGGCCTAAGGAACGGCAGAAAGCCCCCAGAACAGACCCATACCGCCAAATATAATACTGCAAATGGAAATAAAGTTTTCTTTGAATGAAGTGGTCCTGACTGAACTATGATTTAAATAAGAGTCAAAATTATGAGATAGTTAATCAAAATACAGTATTGACATAAGAAGTAAAAATGATGGTATAGTAAATCAAAATCATGAGACACAAATCAAAGGTCAAGTCAAAATTTTGACCAGTTGTGTTGTGCTTTTCACGTGGATGTTACAGTGAAATATCTGTCTAGTTATTACTACAAACAGAAGAATTTAAGAATTTACCAAGAAACTTTTCTTGTTATAGCACTGTATGATTGTATCGTATGTTTTTTTTTGTTTGTTTGATTTTTCAAGTAAAAACGTAAAAAAAAAAAAAAAACTCCTTACGTTTTTCTTTTCCTGGTAGAAATGGGCTTCCATATTAAAACTTGTCTCCCCTCTCTGATTATTTTTCAGTTCTGATTTATTGCATGACTACAATTGAGCACAGTGTCATTAAAACAGGTTGTACAAGGTTTGTGTGTTACTACATGCTAAATCATAATGAAATAAAGATGACTTAAATGACTGAATAAAGGTTTTTCCTCTCAGGTATCCTGGTGGCAAAATCTGTCAGCCGGATCCAGCAGATCCACACGGCTGGCCTACGTTCCTACCTCCTCACCTCCCTGCTCCTCCTCTCTCTGGCTCTCCTCTTGTACCTGTGCCTCCTTCTGGTAGGAGTCGACCTCCTCTGGAGTGTAGAGAAAGCACGGTGCTGGTGCCGGAGAGCAGAGTGGGTCAGCGTGGACACCAGCCCCTTGGCCAGCTTGTTCAGGAACACTGGGACTCTGTTGGGTCTGGGCCTAGGGCTCCACTCTCCTCTGTATGCACACTCTAACTCAGTAGTGGTCGGCAGGGAGTCTGAGGGCACCATCTACAGGTCAGTCTGTTTAAGTGCAACACTGGTGCTACTGCAGTTATTTGACTCTGCTTTTCGGCCAGCTGTCCACAGCGGAGCTCTGTTCTATCTGCTGTCGTTCTGTAAAAGTGCCATGGTGCCTCTGGCTACTGTGGCTATTGTTCCTTACTGTGTCACTGCGGCACTGGGATACAAAGCAGAGAAGCTATTATAAGGCGGGTGGCCTTTCATTACATGTACTGTTGCCTGGGTGCACATCTTCACATCATCATATACTGCTGAAGCTGCTGGTTTAAACCTACAACATTTGGTCAAAAGTATGTGGACACATAGTTTCATGTCCTTTTTGTCTGGGTCCGGTTTTTCTGGTTTAGGCCTCATAGTTCCAACACTGCTCCATGCACCATAGAGAAATATTTTCCCTGTTAGGAAGAAGCTGACTGGTCTGCAAAGAGCCCTGACCTCAACCCCATCCATCTCCTATGGGATCAGCTGGAACACCAACTGTGAGCCAGACCTCACATAAATAATGTGTGTGTGTGTGTGTGTGTGTGTGTGTGTGTGTGTGTGTGTGTGTGTGTCAGCATTAGTGGAAAAGTCTATGAGGTATTTTGAGGAATTAAAGGCAGATGGGGGCACCAACATTTCCCCACATGAAAGGGATAGTTTGGATTTATTGGATTGGAGTTGTATGAGGTACTTAGCCATAGTCAGTGTATTACATACAGTAGATGTCAGTCTGCACGCACCCATTTTGGAGAAGCAACAGGAGTCTGACATGGGAGCTAAGCAATGTACTGCTGTGAACGGGAGCAGCAGCAAAACAAGTTTTGTGGATGTGTTATATTGAGAATACACTCACTGCTTTACCTTTCCGTCAGACAGCCCGGGGAAGCTATTAACGGCTTCAGTTCCCCATCTACGGGGAAAGCCACCAGACACCAGTGACAAATTGTGTGACCTTGGTGAATCCGAATTAACCCTTTCAAATGGCAAGTTACACAATAACACAAACAAACTAACTGTTCGAGGGAGCAGGAGACCAGAAACTCCTACGTTAAGTGATGTTAAATCACTGTTTTTCTCGATGGAGTCTGGTTTTGAAGAGGGCGATGTAATGGCTTCATTTTCCCATTGGAAATCACTGCATGACATTAAGGTAAAGCTGTGAAAATCTAAATATAGGGTACACACTTATACTGATATTCTATTTTTTAGGTGGGACTTTTTTTAGGTGGTTAAAATGTGTTTTGGATAAGTACTCCATACAACCCTACTTAAAATTAATCAGAACTATATCTTTCATGCGTTCATTCATGAATAATCATCACAGTCAGAACTATAGGGTTGATGGGTATGTTGGAGTGTATGAAGAGAACTTTAGAGGAAAAAAAGGGAGAAGGTATAAGCCACCTGGGAAAAAAAAATGAAGAAAAGAGTTGCACGTACCATATTCTTTTATTGTTTATTTATTATCATTGTTTGCTAGCTAAGTTGCTTATTTCTGTTGATTTGTCATGGTATCTGTTTATTTTGTGTAATAGATATAAAAGAAAATAATAATATATATATATATTGTGTGTGTGTGTGTGTGTGTGTGTGTGTGTGTGTGTGTGTGTGTGTGTGTGAGACCTACTATTTTCCACAAAAGTTCCCACAGTTTTGGTTGTATGACCTGAGAGGTTGTATTTGTGGTTTTGCCTGAGCTCCTCTCGCTGATTTGAGGTGGGTGTGGCTCGGTGGGATAAAGGTGATGCCACATACATGCACCAAATTAGGATTAAGCAATGTTTATTTCAGAATCTGATCACATAGATTTGGGTTTGTTTGGTTGTGTTGCCAGGTTCACTGTTTATCAAATCTGACTATGACTGATACAAAAGGATGTTTTTATCCAAGTTTTGACTTTGACCGTTGTATATTAATATCAATTGTTCGAAGATTTAAATAAAATGCTAGATATAAGATGAGCATTCTGTGTTTTTCTTAACTGATACAATTTCGAAGAATGATTACTTTTACAATTATTATTATTTGCCAATATTATCTAGCATTACACCCTTTGCTGTCAATCAGTTTGAGACCCCCTTTTAGCTATGTTAGCACCGTGGCTCTGTGGACAGAACTGTGTCTGTCATTCCTTCACTTTGGTACACACTGAAATATATCAACTACAGACTTTGAATGGGTGTGAAATTTTATACAGATTCATTGTACCCAGATGATTAATCCCTCTGATTTTGGTGATCCCTGACTTTCCCTCTAGTACCACCATGAGGCTGACATTGTAGTTTCGACTGAATTATCTCAACAAAGATTGTCATGAAATCTGGTGCACAAATTCAGTCGTCGAACCCGGCACTTGGTCAGTGACTTCCGGTGTCGGACACTGATGAAAAAACTCCCGTCATGGTGGAAATGCGGCTGGACAACAACAAAAGTTAAGGCAGTGGAAGTCCAACAACCATGGATTCTCACCAGGGAGGCCAGTGTTTGCTTCCCCTAAGATTGTAAAGCCAAACTCTGTTCTTTTTCCTTAAACCCAACCATGTGTGTGTTGGCAAAATGTAACCATGTGCATTTGCTGTTGAAGGAAAAAAACCCTCAATTGTACTTTTCTAATGCAGGAATTGATCATAATGATTTTGATTTAAAAAAAATGTTATGCTGGTGGTATTGTTTTTTGGCTTAGTAGAAAGACCGATTTGACCAATGGCAACATACAGTCAGGTCCATAATTATTTGGACAATGATACAGTTGTCATCATTTTGGCTCTGTACACCACCACAATGGGTTTTAAATGAAACAATGAATACCTGCTTAAAGTGCAGACTCTCAGCTTTCATTAAAGGCTTTTTTCAAAAATGTAGTATGAACCGTGTAGGAATGACAACCATTTCTTCACACAGTCCCCCAACTTTAAGGGCTCATAAGTATTTGGACAAACTAACATAATCATCAATTAAACAGTCAGTTTTAATACTTGGTTGCAAATCCTTTACAGTCAATGACTGCCTGAAGTGTTGGACACATAGGCATCATCAGATGCTGGGTTTCTTCCCTGGTGATGCTCTGCCAGCCCTTTACTGCAGCCGTCTGCACTTCCTGCTTGTGTTTTGGGTGTTTTGCCCTCAGTTTTGGCTTCAGCAAGAGAAACGCATGCTCAGTTGGATTCAGGTCAGATGATATGACTTGGCCATTGCAGAACATTCCACTTCTTTGCCTTAAAAATGTCTTTGGTTGCTTTTGCAGTATGCTTCAGGTCAATGTCCATCTGCACTGTGAAGCATCGTCCAATGAGTTTTGAAGCATTTGGTTGAATCTGAGCAGATAATGGTGCCCCAAACACTTCAGCTTTCATCCTGCTGCTCTTGTCAGCAGTCACATCATCAATAAATACAAGAGAACCAGTTCCACTGGCAGCCATACATGGCCATGACATAACAGTACCTCCACCATGCTTCACTGATGAGGTGGTGTGCTTTGGATCATGAGCAGTTCCTTCCCTTCTTCCTTCTCTTGTCTTCCCATCATTCTGGTAGTTGATCTTTGTTTTATCTGTCCATAGTATGCTGTTCCACAACTGTACAGGCTTTTTAGATGGTTTTTGACAAACTCTAATCTGGCCTTCCATTTTTAAGGCTAACCAATGGTTTGCATCTTGTGATAAACCCTCTGTATTTATTCTAGTGAAGTCTTGTCTTGCTTACAAGAGCAGCAGGATGAAAGCTGAAGTGTTTGGGGCACCATTATCTGCTCAGATTCAACCAAATGCTTCAAAACTCATTGGACGATGCTTCACAGTGCAGATGGACATTGACCTGAAGCATACTGCAAAAGCAACCAAAGACATTTTTAAGGCAAAGAAGTGGAATGTTCTGCAATGGCCAAGTCATATCATCTGACCTGAATCCAACTGAGCATGCGTTTCTCTTGCTGAAGCCAAAACTGAGGGCAAAACACCCAAAACACAAGCAGGAAGTGCAGACGGCTGCAGTAAAGGGCTGGCAGAGCATCACCAGGGAAGAAACCCAGCATCTGATGATGCCTATGTGTCCAACACTTCAGGCAGTCATTGACTGTAAAGGATTTGCAACCAAGTATTAAAACTGACTGTTTAATTGATGATTATGTTAGTTTGTCCAAATACTTATGAGCCCTTAAAGTCGGGGGACTGTGTGAAGAAATGGTTGTAATTCCTACACGGTTCATACTACATTTTTGAAAAAAGCCTTAAATGAAAGCTGAGAGTCTGCACTTTAAGCAGGTATTCATTGTTTCATTTAAAACCCATTGTGCTGGTGTACAGAGCCAAAATGACGACAACTGTATCATTGTCCAAATAATTATGGACCTGACTGTAGCTGGATCAAAGTAATTTAAAAAAAAAAGGTAAGAATAAGCCATAGTGCAAAACCTCTTTAAATTTTGTAGACTTTTTCATCGACATTCTCATTTACAAAGATATTCTTGGCCCTCTTCAAGCTTATTTATGTGTGTACATTAAACAAAAAAATTAAATTGGCTTTGCTCTTCATTCACAGAACATGTTTTTATTGTCTATATGGAGGGTATGTACAGAGTTTGACAAGCAAGCATTTCTGTATGCAGCTCCTTATATGTGGAATCCTCTGCAGAAGGACTTAAATTTGCAGTCACTGGTTCCTCTTGGCCATTTCAAAGAACTGTTGCAGGATTGTTGTGCCCAATCGTCTATATGCCAGTGTCAGCGTGTATTTTAGTTGATCTTTGTAATCATGCTTAGTTGTCTCTGTTTTATGGTTTTATAGTTCACTTATAACATGTATTAACAAACATGTTGGCTTTTCATTGTGGTAATCTAATTAGGTGTTTTATATTGCTTGTTTTAGAGCTGTACATTTTTAATTTGTATTTTTGTTCTATGTTGACTGTCTGTAATTTATGTTGCTGCCTGTCTTGGCCAGCACACTCTTAAAACAGAGATTTTTAATCTCAAGAGTTTTTTTTGTTAAATAAAGGTTTTTTTTAAAAAGATGGAAAACAAACATCTTTTTTCTTATCCTGTTATCAAGTGCAAAGTCCAAAGATTATTCTCAGAGACTGGTTCCTTACATATCCTTATATTTAACACATGCCAGTTAAGTTTTTAAGGCCTTAGACGATTTAACATTACTTTATGTAGGCTACTTTCCTAAATCTTTGTCAACGGCAGTAAAGAAGGGTCTTTGGTTTGTAAATAAACGTCGAGAATCTAGCGAGAGTAATAAATAGATTGGATCCCTGCTGCAGTCCTGATCATCACAGGTGACGCTCCTGTGCCGCCCTCCAGCGGCTCTTCTCCGCACCGCACCGTACCGCGCTGCTGCTTTTGTTTTTTTCCGCACAAGCGGAAGTGTCGATCTTAGTTCCGGACACATGGTGCAGGGTGGGCGTGCCCAGGACGCTGATGTAAACACAAAATACGCCTCATCCCCCGTCGGATAAGTCACAGTGGAGCGAATTGGCAAGATTAACCCAAATAGCCTTCGCTGGTCGGGGAAAACGCTCCGTGTCCGTCGTGCGTAATATGCGTTAAGGCGCAGACGGGCGTCGCCATGGACTTCTACATCAACCTGAAGGTGAATTTCAGAGGAAATTCCAAAAATTTCCTTCTGTCGGGATCCGAGACCAAGAGCTGGGAGTCGATGGAGGCCATGGTAAGAGGGGGGAGAATCACCGGGCCCGTTCTGAAACACACCGATCACCGCACAGCCTGCTGCCGCCTCTGTCTGCTCTCATACACTCATTTCTAGTCGCTGCTGCTTGCGATTGATGACATTGATGTGCCACATCGGAAGGTTGTGTTTACTCTGAGGGACATAACCTACCAGCTCTGGATATGCTCTAACAGATGCTAATGACAGACTGTAGCATTACCGTTGCCATCATGCAGCGTGTGTCCTGTGAGCTGCTGTGATAAAGCACAGATAACAGTGTCACAGAGGGCAGGGAGGATACATCGCTGGCCTGACAGGGTTATTATAGTGGTTTGTTGTCATGGAAACACTGTTTACCAGCTCAACACACTGGTCTGAGCAGTTTGAAACACACATCCACCATTTGAATGTGTTCCTTTGGCCTGTTAGCTGAAATATCAGTCAGAGGGCATTTATAAGTCTGCAAATTCATTTCACAACAGCATTATTGCACAAAGCTTTTCTACACACTGAACAATCAGAGAGAGAAGTGGGATATCGGGAATACATTATGAAATTGTTGTAGGTAGGCCTAATCCTATAATGCACTGCCCTATTTATTGGAAATTGTTTCATATTAGAGGCCTTTATTTTGTATATTTAATCATGTTTACTGTTTTCTGACTGGTTTCTGGTTCAGAGCGCTTCTTTCATATTTACCTGTTGTCTTGATGAAGTTAGTATAATGTGCATATCCGAAGCATTAATTCTGTCAGTACAGTAACAGAGTCATATCACAGACTGGGTATGCGCTGTCTTGGTGTCCCCAGTGTAAAGGGTGACTTTGGAATGTTTCAGCCTGGGCTTAATTTTCCCATGTTTTTGTGTCTAAGTGACAAATCGGAACAGCAGTTTGTACAACTGGTCCAGTAAGTGGAGAGAGCGCTGCAGCCAGCACCGGCAAAACCTGCTGCAATGTAATCCCTGTGGGCAATTGAGCACTATCAGTTTATGTTGACTAAGATCACACAGAAAGCTTTATAGCAGTTTAAGGTTGCTTTTTGTAATTACTTTTAATGAGAATGAAGCTTTTTTTTTTTTTTTTTTTTTGCTGTTTTTGCGTTGCTATGTGCCTTGTGTTTCTGCACACTAGACACCTGGCGTTTTTACCACAACTCTCTGAACTGAAAAAACTTCAACTCAGAGTGGAAAAGCGCCCCACGTCATCTCGGCTTTTTTCCCATCACAACAACAAGTGGACAGTTAGTAAACAATGGAGGAAAAACTGGTGCTAC